TTAATCGTATATATCTTTAAGTTTCTTTTTGGCGTTGCCTCTTTTAACAAAGGAATACGGAAAATTGAAAAAAAAACAAAAAAGGTGATAGAAAAAGATGATTTCAAGACAAAAGAAACAGGTAGTTTTTTCTTTAAAATTGTGGGAAGGGGGGGGGGGGGTGGGAAAAGGGTGTTGCTAAGTAACTGAGGATTGCAATGGCAACAAGAATGTCAAGAGATTGATGGAATGAGCAGAATAACTTTGCCTATGCATCACTCTAGCTGGTTCACTTTTATGCCGTACTGGGAAAAGAAATTTCTAAATGAACAATTTTTTGAGGGGCATGAAATAATTATGATGAAAGATTCTCATTTCTCTTTGTAACCTTAGATGTGGTCTAAAAGAATTCAACTCACATTAAGTGGTTGCTTAAGCTCATTCCTTTGTTACCTGTCAAATGCTTTCAGAAATTTAATGTAGATAGCATACTAACTTCTCTCTTTCACTGATCAATACTGAAAACTTTTTCTCTCTCTTATAGATTCCTGTCACATCAGCTTGCCATCTGAAATTTCTCATTAAGAGTGGCTTTGATCATTTTATTTTCGTTCACAATGTCAGTGTTGATGGTACAGCAGTCCACTGATTATTTAAAATACAACAAACAAACATTTATTTAAATATTTATTGTCAGTGTTGGTAGAAAGATACCATTCTAAAAGTTGAAATAGAAAAATTATGTTTAAAAAACGTCCATTTTTTATTTTACTCCTATACAAGCAGAGGCTACATTTGCACAGTGTGAGTTGGTGTGCGAAAAGTAGCACACCAGTTCACATGTGAAAATGTAGCCTCTGCTCACACGGTATCCATTTACAGACATGAATGCAATAGTGACAGATGTTTTGTTTAAGGCAATCTTTTTAAGGCATCGAAAGAACTATTCTTTTAGACTGGAAACAGTCCGTAGTTTTTGTACATAAAAATTATTACTTGTTGCATTTGATCATGAACACACTAGAAACATTCCGATCGTCATCTGCTAATAACAGCCCTGCAGAGCAGAATTAAAAAAGAAAAGACGAAAATATAAAATATTGCTAATAACTTCTTTTATTCAATGTCTTCAGTGTGTGAGCGAAGTTTGATATATTATGCACCTTGTTAATGTACATAGTACAATGTAAATAAAATTATCTTGATTTACTTTAACAACTTTTCTTTCTTTGTCATCTAAAATATTAATAGTTACTATTATTGTAACAACTGATATACAGCTGAATTAATTAAAAAAAATTATTATAAATATACCTAATAGTAAACTATTGAAATAATGCAATGAATAAAAAAATCTGAAATCTGAAATCTAACCCCTCAATAAAATCTTCTTTTCTTTGGAGATAATTTTTCAGAGCAATCTTTAAATTCAGATAATTATGTTCCATTATAATAACGAACTATTTCTATAATCTGTTTTTCTATTTTTATTAAACAGTGTTAGGTTACAAGCAAGCTCTGTACCTGGATGAATACCACAAGATGTTCATGAGGCAAGAGCTTGCCTGAAGTCTAACAAGTTGTAAGAACTGAAAGTTAAACTGCTTCGATATTCCCTACGATCATGTCTTAATTGGCTATCCTTCTCTCAAAGCAAGAAAACAGAAACAGGCGATGGAATGTTATCCATCCTACAGTTTTGTATTTGTTGTGTCAAAAGTGTAAGGAGATCAAGACCTGTTAACACTTGTAATCTAAAGCATAAGTAAGGCCAAATCATTCCCTTTATTTAGAGACTGTGACGATGTTTACAAAGTGAAAGACCAGCTCTTGTATGTGACTACCCAAGTGTTAGCAAAAATCCAGTCAGGGATAGCCTTCTTGACTTCCCTGAGAACTGGTGAAGATGAGTCTTTTCCATGAATGTATTGAGCAGCAACTGCAAAATCCATCAGGCTGCTTTTAGCAGGCAGTTCTTGTTCTGTCTGAAAAACAAATACATACCGCGGTAAACCACTTTTTATCATCACCACTATAACATTGCGCTCCTGTTGGTAGCAAATAACTTGAACAGAATTTGTGTCCTGTGAAAACTGCTATGGCCAAACTTGGTGGCTGTCACCCCAGGGGGTACTCCCCTATAGAAGTGACGCGGGTACTTGTCGTACCTTGTAGGGGTTTAAATTTGTGGATTGGTAACACTAACGGTGATACAACCTAAATGACAGATTAGGATGAACATTTTTGACAATACTTTCAAAAAGGCCTTAAGACTAAAGTGCTCAAAAGTTGTCTTTATTACTACTAAAATTTGCAGTGACAGTTATACCTAATTATAATGTATTATTGTTGAATTGGTACCTCTTTACCCTGGGTACCAGAGATTTTTTCTCGTGTGCGACGGAGAGTTTCGTTTGGTCGGCCGCAGGCCAACGTGTTCAGCCAAATGCCGAAGACACGAGCAGAGAAGCCACGAGAAAAAATTCACGTGAGTCACTTTTTAAGACTTGACCAAACTTGACCACTTGTCACCATTTATAGTAATACAGGACTGCTGCTAAGATTTCAAAGTGCCAGGTAAATTAAGCATTTAAGAGGGTTTTGGTTCTGTTTTCCTTTATTTCCTATGACAGTAGGCATGGGTTATGCTTGCAGAAGCCCAGGACAATCCCTGGTGTCAGGCTCGCAGTGACAGCTCTGTACATACTGTATAGTATGAGACAAATAATCTTGAGTTTCATCCATGTAAAATTTTTACTTATTTTAGCCTTAATTAAACCTATGCAAATGCAAGCAGCATCTTTGCATCTTTGTCGGGACAACAGGCACTAATGATCAACTAGCTTGACCTTATCCTTTCTCCCTTCCCAGTTCCCTCCCTAGACTAATGCTTAGCTTGCTTGGCTTGCCAATTTTTTTTTTGCTTTTTCAACTGCAGAGCCTAGTCCCAGGCTAATGATCATGCCACTGTATTTGGAATATTTTGCTTGTTCATATCCTTGTATCGTAAGTGTAACCACAGTAACAGACATACCACCAACTCAAGAGAGAACTCCCATGGTCCAACATCAGCTCCGTGGGAATAGTAAATGAAGTACGTAACGCGGTCTCCCCCATTTTCATCTTCAATGGGATAAAGAGTTCCTAGAGATGAAGACAGCAAATTCACCCCACTTGAGGGGGACAGATACACAGTCATGTGATCGGGACCTATTTTGAAATAAACAAAAGGAGTTATTTATTTAATCATGATGAGTCCAATCAATTGTTTTGTATTTTGTTGGAGATGAATAAACACCACATGGTCCAAAGACAGTTAATGAGAAGTTTATTAGATATTTTGGCGACTTCACAACATCTGAGGTTACAAGGAAGTGAAGTTAGCGAAACTGTGGTTCCCATCTTTGAAGATTGCAGAATTAATATCCTTCATGTCGCTTGTTTATATTGTTACAACTTAACTTAGATTTGTAAGTGTTAGATTATTAAAAGGTTTTAATTAGAAATGATCAAAGTTGAGACTAGAGCTTTATGGTTGAAAACCAACAACCTTGAGATATTTAATTACTACCATGATTAATTTTACAGACCTGATATTGAGAATTTAAAGCTGTATATTTTATCATGCCGTTCTCTTGCTAAAAGTGTTACTGCTAGTTGTGATGTTGTGACTTTTGGTGGAGGGCCAGGAATATACCAAGAGTTTCTATAGAGAAGGAAAGGTCAAGTTAAGTTTTAAAGCTTTATTTCAGTTATTTTAATAGGGGAATGCAACAATAAAAATGTGAGGAAAAAGACCACGCTAGAGACTGCTAGCACATTCTTGTGAACAAGGGTACCAACTCAAACAGTTATTAATAAACTCTTCCAATTGGCAGTGTTTTCCGCATAAATGCTTTATGTCGGTACCACACAGAAAACACACAAAGGGAAATGGGCAAAATTCTGGTGGCAGGGAAGCGCTTAAATCTAGGGATAAGGGGACCAGGAGAGAAGCCCTCCTGGGGGGAGACAAGATCGAGTGGTACCGGGGGTAGCCACCCTGGACAGGAGTCCTGATCAGTCTCCGGGGGTGAGGCCCATATCCCCCAGTACAGGAACTGAGGGGAACCAGGAGGGGTGGCCCTCCTGGGTGGAGTACAGATCAGGTGGGACCGGGGGGGTCCACACCCTGGAGTGGATATTTTTCCGGACCTGTCTCCAAGGGCTAAGCCTTACTGTGGGGTAAAGTGCCAGATCTGGGTAGTGACAAATCATCAGTATGGAATTTCTACACTCATTCCTCAGACATCATTTCGCAACAAAACTATTGTTGGCTTCACAGAATGTCGGCTGTTTTCTCATGCAGGCTCAATTAAGAGCTCACTGGAGCAGAATGTGGGAAATTTCTATTTTGCTTAGAAGTAATGATCACAGCAATTGACTGGGAGCAAGCTCTCTCTCAGCACAATTTCATGATACCAGCCTCCTTAGTCAAGCAAAGGGATAACTGAAAGAGAGCTCGCTCCCAGTTTATAACAGCAGCGGAAATGTCATTAAAAGACATCAAACGATAGGTTAATGAGTGTATGAAACACACACACCAACACTACACGTATACTGTATATTAATATGTCTCTCTTTGAACTTGGATGCAGTACCTGGCAATTGATCATCTCAAGAAAGATTCACAATAATTGTAATCAACAAAATTGTATGTTTCAATTAAGAAAGCAAGGTCGCTCTATGTGAAGTCTTTACAGACATTTGAAGGGTGTCTTGAAAACAAAGACCCCTAAGACCGCTAAGACCCTTAAGAACTCCCACTGAATGACTCTGAACTTTATTGATCAGGGTTAGGAAACTTAGTTAATCAATTTTCAGGTCAGTTTGTCCAGTATAAAGACTTAAATGGAACCTGATTCACTCAGTTTCCTAACCTTATACTAATCAATAAAGTTCAGAGTCATTCGGTGGGAGTTTTTAGGGGGACCTAGGGGTCTTTGTTAGGGGTCTCAGGGGACTTTGTTTTCAAGACACCTGACATTTGAACGTTGGTGGATAATACGTCACTATCACAAAGAAACATACCTCATTAACTGCCTCAAAGGTAAGTAATAAGGAAAGCCTCCATAGACCCCATACTGTGGTGCCAGTGAGGCATTTCTAAACATAGGTACATCAGAAAATGGCTTGATTCCTAAATAATCCAGAGGAGTGGTCCATACACCTGAGTCTTGCAGAACAGTATCCCCCTCATTGTCGTAAAATTCTCTTGATGTATGCTATGGCAAAAGCAAAGTTAAAGCCGAAGACACGAGCAGAGAAGCCACGAGAAAAAATTCACGTGAGTCACTTTTTAAGACTTGACCAAACTTGACCACTTGTCACCATTTATAGTAATACAGGACTGCTGCTAAGATTTCAAAGTGCCAGGTAAATTAAGCATTTAAGAGGGTTTTGGTTCTGTTTTCCTTTATTTCCTATGACAGTAGGCATGGGTTATGCTTGCAGAAGCCCAGGACAATCCCTGGTGTCAGGCTCGCAGTGACAGCTCTGTACATACTGTATAGTATGAGACAAATAATCTTGAGTTTCATCCATGTAAAATTTTTACTTATTTTAGCCTTAATTAAACCTATGCAAATGCAAGCAGCATCTTTGCATCTTTGTCGGGACAACAGGCACTAATGATCAACTAGCTTGACCTTATCCTTTCTCCCTTCCCAGTTCCCTCCCTAGACTAATGCTTAGCTTGCTTGGCTTGCCAATTTTTTTTTTGCATTTTCAACTGCAGAGCCTAGTCCCAGGCTAATGATCATGCCACTGTATTTGGAATATTTTGCTTGTTCATATCCTTGTATCGTAAGTGTAACCACAGTAACAGACATACCACCAACTCAAGAGAGAACTCCCATGGTCCAACATCAGCTCCGTGGGAATAGTAAATGAAGTACGTAACGCGGTCTCCCCCATTTTCATCTTCAATGGGATAAAGAGTTCCTAGAGATGAAGACAGCAAATTCACCCCACTTGAGGGGGACAGATACACAGTCATGTGATCGGGACCTATTTTGAAATAAACAAAAGGAGTTATTTATTTAATCATGATGAGTCCAATCAATTGTTTTGTATTTTGTTGGAGATGAATAAACACCACATGGTCCAAAGACAGTTAATGAGAAGTTTATTAGATATTTTGGCGACTTCACAACATCTGAGGTTACAAGGAAGTGAAGTTAGCGAAACTGTGGTTCCCATCTTTGAAGATTGCAGAATTAATATCCTTCATGTCGCTTGTTTATATTGTTACAACTTAACTTAGATTTGTAAGTGTTAGATTATTAAAAGGTTTTAATTGGAAATGATCAAAGTTGAGACTAGAGCTTTATGGTTGAAAACCAACAACCTTGAGATATTTAATTACTACCATGATTAATTTTACAGACCTGATATTGAGAATTTAAAGCTGTATATTTTATCATGCCGTTCTCTTGCTAAAAGTGTTACTGCTAGTTGTGATGTTGTGACTTTTGGTGGAGGGCCAGGAATATACCAAGAGTTTCTATAGAGAAGGAAAGGTCAAGTTAAGTTTTAAAGCTTTATTTCAGTTATTTTAATAGGGGAATGCAACAATAAAAATGTGAGGAAAAAGACCACGATAGAGACTGCTAGCACATTCTTGTGAACAAGGGTACCAACTCAAACAGTTATTAATAAACTCTTCCAATTGGCAGTGTTTTCCGCATAAATGCTTTATGTCGGTACCACACAGAAAACACACAAAGGGTAATGGGCAAAATTCTGGTGGCAGGGAAGCGCTTAAATCTAGGGATAAGGGGACCAGGAGAGAAGCCCTCCTGGGGGGAGACAAGATCGAGTGGTACCGGGGGTAGCCACCCTGGACAGGAGTCCTGATCAGTCTCCAGGGCTGAGGCCCATATCCCCCAGTACAGGAACTGAGGGGAACCAGGAGGGGTGGCCCTCCTGGGTGGAGTACAGATCAGGTGGGACCAGGGTTCCACACCCTGGAGTGGATATTTTTCCGGACCTGTCTCCAAGGGCTAAGCCTTACTGTGGGGTAAAGTGCCAGATCTGGGTAGTGACAAATCATCAGTATGGAATTTCTAAACTCATTCCTCAGACATCATTTCGCAACGAAACTATTGATGGCTTCACAGAATGTCGGCTGTTTTCTCATGCAGGCTCAATTAAGAGCTCACTGGAGCAGAATGTGGGAAATTTCTATTTTGCTTAGAAGTAATGATCACGGCAATTGACTGGGAGCGCGCTCTCTCTCAGCTCAATTTCATGATACCAGCCTCCTTAGTCAAGCAAAGGGATAACTGAAAGAGAGCTCGCTCCCAGTTTATAACAGCAGCAGAAATGTCATTAAAAGACATCAAACGATAGGTTAATGAGTGTATGAAACACACACACCAACACTACACGTATACTGTATATTAATATGTCTCTCTTTGAACTTGGATGCAGTACCTGGGAATTGATCATCTCAAGAAAGATTCACAATTATTGTGATCAACAAAATTGTATGTTTCAATTAAGAAAGCAAGGTTGCTCTATGTGAAGTCTTTACAGACATTTGAAGGGTGTCTTGACAACACCCCTAAGACCGCTAAGACCCCTTAAGAACCCCCACTGAATGACTGAACTTTATTGATCAGGGTTAGGAAACTAAGTTAATCAATTTTTAGGTCAGTTTGTCCAGTATAAAGACTTAAATGGAACCTGATTCACTCAGTTTCCTAACCTTATACTAATCAATAAAGTTCAGAGTCATTTGGTGGGGGGTTTTAGGCTTAGGCAGTCTTTGTTAGGGGTATTAGAGGTCTCTGTTTTCAAGACACCTGACATTTGATCACTGGTGGGTAATATGTCACTATCACAAAGAAACATACCTCATTAACTGCCTCAAAGGTAAGTAATAAGGAAAGCCTCCATAGACTCCATACTGTGGTGCCAGTGAGGCATTTCTAAACATGGGTACATCAGAAAATGGCTTGATTCCTAAATAATCCAGAGGAGTGGTCCATACACCTGAGTCTTGCAGAACAGTATCCCCCTCATTGTCGTAAAATTCTCTTGATGTATGCTATGGCAAAAGCAAAGTTAAGGTTTTAAGGCCCTTGTAAAAGAAAGCAGCATTGAATTAACTTATTAAACCTTTTTAACAATAATAATAGCAAGGCAAACTTGTGATTTCAAGACAAAAGAAAATCTTTTCCAGCGGGACAAAGACAGAAATCCCAAGCACACAAAACCGGCCAATCTTGCCTACTCAGCTAGGGAGCCAAAAAGATTAAGGGATTTGACTGATCTTGCCTGCTTAAGGAACCAGCCATTTATAATAAATGGCAGGATCCTGTTCCATACATTTTACTATAACTGCAGAGGCAAAGAATGTCATTCAAACATGGCCATTGGCAAAACCTGGATCGGACCGCATCAGTTCATTCCCAGAGACTCTATCCCTTACATTTTGTCATTTAGTGAGATACAGGGGTTGATCCAATCCAGTCCAATCCAAGATTTGTTGATGCCTTTCTCACACTGGGCTATATAATAATAACAGTGTATACAGGGCCTAAGGGGATCAAGCAAAAGGACCACAAGGGTATGACTAAATCACGACCCATGAGTCTCAAGCTAGGACTGGATCCACCACTGTAGTGGGGGTTGCACCATTTTCTTAGCATGCTTACCTGAAAGAAAACCCTTTTAGGACATTGATTGACAGCTGAGTAAGGAAATGAAAGTCCCAAAAGAGATATTACAATTGCAAGTGTTGAGACAAGGAAGAGGAATAGTGCTGGAAGTTTCAGGTCACCCATGACATACACAGTGCTAACCTACAAAAACAAAAGGATGGAAGTAACAGTTGAGGCAGTCAAGAAGAGGATTAAGCAACATCATTCTAATAACACAGCCCCCAAGTGAGTGATGAACTTGCGAGAGGGAGACTTGAAGTCCTAACTTTTGTGGTTTTGCAACAATAAAGGGTCTAATTTGCAGGTACATGTATGCAGTGCAGGTGTGAATAAAGATTCTTAAACTTGGACCCTAACAGTAAATAAATCCAAACCCAGTGGGTGTACCTGCCATTAAAATTAATTAGCTGACTGCAGATTAATACATGTAGCTATCATTGGGTGGGCTAAATTTCCACCAACAATTTCACCAAGAATTTTCTGATACTTTACAAAAGTACTTCTTATCTTTGTACTAAAAAGCAAACAAAATTTTGTGCAGAAAACTAACAGAATGGTGATAAAAATTTGACAAAAAGGCTGTCATTTCAGAGGCTCTAAATTTCAAAATTTTCTCAAGGAGCATGCCTCTTGCGCCCTCAAAGCTTGTGCCTTTGGCAATAACTAATCCAAAATATGCTCTGAGGTCCCTGCTTTCACATGATAAAGATAATAATTACTTGTTTTTCAAATGACAAGTACTGTAACTGTACTGTACTAAAAATATATAAATTATACTCACCATATACGAAGACAATGTGACAACTGCAGAAGCACACAGAACAGCAATGAACAAATCTGGTGGTGTTTCAGTCCCTGAACGGCTCATGATTGGTAAAAGGACATCAAATCCACAGATAAATAAGTAAGTACAAAATTTCACAGGTATTAACGAAGCTATTATGTTAATTAGCACAGATTTTTCTATAAAGTTCTGATTGACCATTTTCGCTGCAATGAAGTTGTCAAAAATTAGAACCCGTACTATCAATGGAAAGATCACTAGAATTAATAGTATGTAAGCCGAGGCCAAACGATAGAAGGACATCACTAACAGGATTATTGTCCACAGTAGAAGCACTGCATAAAACACTTCTGTTTCCCTTGCTGAAAGGCAGCAGGATTTTCTTTCATTCCAGGAGACTGTCGCTTGTTTTTCTTTCTCATGTTCAGCTTTACTCTAAAATTTTTTTAAAAAATAAAATGATGTCAACAAATTAATGATTTCACTTCAAAAAGTCAATTTCTATTAACCCTTCAAACCCTAAGATCAAAATTTGAATTCTCATTTGTTGCCCCTATTCATTTCCTACAGAAGAAGTGGGGAGAAGTTGATGAAACATCAAGCAAATTCATCTTGTTTTATCATGTCTGTAATTCTCAAGACCACTCTTTTTAACAAAGCATTGATATTACAAGGAGAAATTTGATGCTGATCACTCTAAGGGCTTAAAGGGTTAGCAGCAAATGTCACAGAAAGATTATTAGTATAAAGGTACCTACAGCCTGTTCCAGGTGTTCAGATAGTGGGGCAACAGTGCAAAAATTGATGAGGGAAAAAATACGGGGAAACCAGGGCAAAAAAGGGGAGGTAACATCACCAGCACTTGAATGTTAACAGAAGGTGTCATAATCGACCAATAAGAGGGTATACTGGAATACAGTATACCGGAACGACCCTTTGTTAAGAATGTTCATAGGCCTTCCCTCACTCTCACCCTAGTCTACCCTTGTTTTCCTTTTGCAATCACCGTGTACAATTTAACTCACTCCGCACCTTCTGAACACCTGGAACAGGCTACAGTGTCCATATAAGGACCATAGACAAAGACCTGGATTAGACTAGATAGGATCAACCCTCGTAGAAACCCTTACCCCTAACCTTCTGTTGGTTGATCCAGTCCAGTCCAATCCAGATTTTGTTCACGCCTGTATCAAAGTGTCCTTATAAGGATCTTTTTCTATTTTTTTTCTTTAAACTGCTTTTGTACATGAAGAATGTGATGCAGGCTACCTGGAAAATAATCTCCTATTTATGAATATACATATATACTGTAAGAGGCACACCTTTGCCAAAAGTCTTCTCCTAGCTGCAACGTGGACTAAACCAATGCCAAGCAGAGAGGGAGCAGCATATAGTGGCAAAAGAAGGTAAGGATGGCAATACCAAGTCATTGATTGCCCGGCATACGTAAGTAATAAGGATAAGACAACAGGTGTTGCTATGCCAACCAGCCATGACAACAGTAAAACCAACATTGAAAAGAGAAGAGAAGACAAAGATGACTGTTGAGCAACTTGACCTGAAAAATATACAACAATCAATGATTATTTTAACAGGCTATCTTATACATTATCGTTGCCATCATCATCACGACTTAAGTCATCTGCCAAGTAGTGTCACAAAGTTTCCTCTGGCTGCTGTGGTCTCTAGTATAGAGGCAAAACAATTTGGCTTGACCGCAGAATTCCTTCAATATCTCCCACAAGGCTTTGATTGGGTTTGCAACATACAGTAACAACAATTCCAGAGATACATTGTATTTCTGACAGTTTTCTGAATTTCACAGTAAGACTAGTGATAGTGCTCATACATGTACACTGCAGTACTAAACATCTTCTTACCCTTCTTTACATCTTTCTTTCCAGGAAATCCCAGGAACTTTCTGATCAGACAAAGAACTACCACAAAAGCAGTTAAAACATTTATCACAAGGCTAATTCTCTCAGGATAATGCACCATGATGATGCCAAGAAAGTCAGACATCAAACCCACAGATAAATAAGTAAGTACAAAATTTCACAGGTATTAACGAAGCTATTATGTTAATTAGCACAGATTTTTCTATAAAGTTCTGATTAGCCATTTTCGCTGCAATGAAGTTGTCAAAAATTAGAACCCGTACTATCAATGGAAAGATCACTAGAATTAATAGTATGTAAGCTGAGGCCAAACGATAGAAGGACATCACTAACAGGATTATTGTCCACAGTAGAAGCACTGCATAAAATACTTCTGTTTCCCTTGCTGAAAGGCAGCTGGATTTTCTTTCATTCCAGGAGACTGTCGCTGGTTTTTCTTTCTCGTATTCAGCTTTACTCTAAAAATTTTTTAAAAAATAAAATGATCTCAACAAATTAATGGTTTCACTGCAAAGAGTCAATTTCTATTCAAGCAGCACATGCCACAGAAAGATTATTAGAACCTTTGTACATGGAGGTGGGGGACCCCAGCTCAGGTAGGTGAGGTAATCCACATTGGGTCACCCCACCTAGCATGTAAACGTGATGAAATTAAAATGAAAGCTTATATGGACAGGCGGGTTACCCTACCTAACCGCGTTACCTCACTTACCTGGGCTCTCCAACCTCCATGTAAACAGGCCCTTTAATAGTAAGGGAACTGTTCCAGGTGTTCAGATAGTAGCTAAGGGCAAGGGTGCAAAAATTGATGAGGGAAAAAATGGGGGAAAACCAGGGCAAAAGAGGAGAGGTAACATCACCAGCACTTGAATGTTAACAGGGGAAGTCGTAATCGACCAGTAAGAGGGTATACTGGAATACAGTATACCGGAATGACCCTTTGTTAAGAACATTTACAGGCCTTCCTTCACTCTCACCCTAGTCTGCCCTTGTTTTCCTTTTGCACTTGCTGCATACAATTTAACTCACTCCCCACCATCTGAACACCTGGAACAGGCTACAGTGTCCATATAAGGACCATAGACAAAGACCTGGATTGGACTAGATTGAATCAACCCTCATAAAAACCCTTACCCCTAACCTTCGGTTGGTTGATCCAGTCCAGTCCAATCCAGATTTTGTTGATGCCTGTATCAAAGTGTCCTTCTAATGATCTTTTTCTATTTTTTTTTTCTTTAAGTTGCTTTTGTACAAGAAGAATGTGATGCAGGCTACCTGGAAAATAATCTCCTATACATATATACTGTAAGACTCACACCTTTGCCAGAAGTCTTCTCCTAGCTGCAACGTGGACTAAACCAATGCCAAGCAGAGAGGGAGCAGCATATAGAGGCAAAAGAAGGTAAGGATGGCAATACCAAGTCATTGATTGCCCAGCATATGTAAGTAATAAGGACAACACAACAGGTGTTGCTATGCCAACCAGCCACGACAACAGTAAAACCAACATTGAAAAGAGAAGACAAGACAAAGATGACTGTTGAGCTATTTGACCTGAAAAATATACAACAATCAATGATCATTAACAGGCTATCTTATACGTTATCGTTGCCATCATCAACACGATTTAAGTCATCTGCCAAGTAGTACAGCTGTAGGTGACACAAAGTTTCCTCCAGCTGCTGTGGTCTCTAGTATAGAGGCAAAACAATTTGGCTTGACTGCAGAATTCCTTCAATATCTCCCACAAGGCTTTGATTGGATTGCAACATACAGTAATAACAGTTCCAGAGATACATGTATGTTGTATTTCTGAAAGTTTTCTGAATTTCATAGTAAGTGATAGTGCTCTACATGTATACTGTACTAAGTGTTTTAAGCCCCAAGATCCAAATACAAATTCTTGAGACTGATCTCCACTTATTTCTTCTAAGAATATTTGAGAGAATTTGGTTTAAGATCAAAGCATTCTCCCTTTGGTAATCAATTTAGTAATTCTCATAACCTTTACTCTTTTTGATCTGCTGATGTTGTTAGGAGAAAATTGATTTTGGTCACTCTTGGGACCTCAAGGGCTAAACGTCTTCTTACCCTTTTTTACATCTTTCTTTCCAGGAAATCCCAGGAACTTTCTGATCAGACAAAGAACTACCACAAAAGCAGTTAAAACATTTATCACAAGGCTAATTCTCTCAGGATAATGCACCATGATGATGCCAAGAAAGTCAAAGAACACCACTGCACCATGACGATATTCTCCAGGATCAGCCAGATATGGCGAGTTAACAATGCCTTTTATAAGTGCTAGAATGTTATCCCCAGCACGCTGAATGGAGCCAGGTGTGACTGCAGCAGGAGTGTCATAATTTGTGTGGTAAACGTGACCATTTGCAGTGTAAGCAAGGTCCACTCCTAGTCATTCAAACAAGAAAAAATTTAATGTTAATACATGAAAATATAAGCTAAAAAACTTCAAGTAAAATACTAAGGATCTGTTGTCTTCTTTTTTTTTTTTCAAACCTTTAAAATCATGCACTCATATCAAGCGAAATGGTACATTGTGTAGGTTTGTTTTACATAAAAAAGTCAACTTGAGGCTTATGCTTTTTAAATCTCTTTCTTTCAGGGATAGAGAAAGTCTCCTTTGCAGCTACTGGGGCCAGAGTCATGCAATCTTCCTGCTCCCATAGAATTGGGAAAATTGTGTGACTCCAGACTGAACTGTTGCCAAGGAGACTATGGTAGAGATCACTTCTTGTGACTTTGTTGTTTAAAGATCAAATATTTTTTTTATACTTGCCAGGTATTTGTCCAAAGTCCCTGTAGATCCTGAAGTCAGTATCACTAGGAATTATCCCACTCTGAAACAAATCTTGACCCAGAGCTTGTGCACACGGATGAGGTGCCACTTCAGCATATGTTTTTATTAACCAGAGGTGATCAGGCCCTGCCTGGAAAACTATTTCCCGTCCACCTTTTGATTGAGTAACAACCGAACATTTAGGATTAATAGATACATGTATATAAAGAGCCACCAAAATTAATGTTGCTTTCATCAAGGCTACATAAAAGGGAAGTGTTGTAAAAAACAAAGCAACCTTCACTGCAGGTGTTTAAACAACGTGATGTATTATGTAACACTGAGCGTGTATTGGGGGAAAGCCTGGTTTCAAGGTGACAGGATGATCAAACGGGGACAAAAATCTAGAACCGAAAAGATAACTCGAGGGAGAGAAGCAAGACCTCCTTCCCCCTAGAAAGACCTGTTAACAACTGCACTGCTAAATGGAGGTTGGGTGCCTGGACTATCCGGGGGCTTCCAGGGTATTATAAGGGGGACAGTGTAGCAAAGAAAGTGATCTCTCCCCAACATGTTTCTCTTCTTTTCATGTGTGCACCATACGAAGTGATTTCTCTATAATTCCTCCCGAATCTCTTCCTGTCTTGTATGCACCATGGGTCTCAAGATTTAAAGGCATCAAAGCATAAGAAATGCCCTCCCTCTTCTTGTGCACCGAAAGCGCACCTCATGAGTTGCAGAGAGGATAACTGGCAGGAGAAGTGCCTCCTCTAGCTTATCTCCTCCTCACTTCCGCACTATGCCCACTCTGTCCATTTTGCCGAATTTTTTTTCACCTCCTTATACCCCCCCTTTAATATTGTACCTGCTCCTGCTGCCTCTAGATTCACAAAAGCTCTGATTGTATCAACCCATTTGTGTTGCGTGATAAATCCGTGGCTTGCCTGCAATACATTCTCCTCTGCTCCATTAAAATTGAACACAACACCGTGGTCAAAATCAAAGTTCTGAGTCTGGGCAAGGCATCTCAAGATTTCTAACATCACAGCGCAACTAACAGCGTCATCGCTTGCCCCGGGTGACCCAGGAACGCTATCAAAATGGCCGTTGACAAGAACCGTATTTTTCGGAGGGTAATTTTTTTTCATCGTTATTCTAACCAAGATATTTGTAATTTCACGGTAAACGCTTGTAAATCCGGCTATGAATCCTAGATCGAAACTTCCAGAAGGCTTTTGGATGTCAATTTCAATGATCACATCTTCTCTTGCAGTTTCTTTAATTTCTTGTAAAACTCCAACGATGAAATTCACTGCTTGAACTTCGTTTGCGTAGCTCCCAGCAGGTCGTGGACCAAACGATGTTAGTGCTTCAAGATGTCTCCGAGCTGTTTCCTCCACAAATTCGCTTCGATCGCTCTCTGCTGTTTTTTTGGGCGCGGGAACCGCGCGCGTTGCTTTAAAACCGGTATAGAGAGAACATGCATAAAATAATAAAATAAAGAAGAATATCCATCTTGTGGAAGTGCTCTTCTTTGAATCTGCGTCAACTGAAGAACAATCATCAATGCCTTCCTTTAAGACTTGAAAAGGCGAAGAAGTACCCGCACCTCGCTTCCTTAACGCCGCCATCTTGAACTCAGCTGGAATTCTCATGTTGGAAGCCTGGATCCTACTTACAAAACTAGTTACCAGGTTACTCTCTCGATCAACTCCTTCATCCGGGCTTTTGCGTCAAATTCAACATGGCGTCGGACAGCTCCATAACCTGAAACATTGATTTGTAAATGCCATTAACCTTTCATTTACGGCACTATCATCAATATGGTTGAACCAAACGAAGCTTACGTTAACACTCTTCTCAATATGGGATTTGTTGACAGCGCACAGATTCGCAAAGCGCTCAGTTTGGCCAAGAATGATTTGAATGATGCTGTTGCGTTGTTAACAGGGGAGGAAACTCGTACAAGTTTTTATTTCGAAGACCCGGAAGTTAAAGACACGGAGACACAACACGGCGTAGATGACGGAGGAATGGATATTCCTCCTCTTGTAGACTCCAGAGATAACGACGAAAGCGAATTTTTTGACGCCAGTGGCGAGCCTCCACCATCTTACGATGAGGCTATGAATCCTGCGGGAATGTCTCTAAACGGAGCTAGTCACGGCAAAGACGAAACGGAAAATATGGACATACCTCTGGAATTTCCTACTACAAACCTTTACGAGTTAGAGGACAGAGTTTTTATAGATAATTGGTCTATTCCTTACAAGAGAGAGGAGTCTTTGGGAAAGTGTTTACTAAGTTCTGCGAGATTTGCTCAGGAAGGTGAGAGGAAGTGGGATGGGCCAAAAATGAAATACCGTATACTGTTAGTTTGTTTTCATTTTGTTTTCAAAAAATTTTTGTTTGGGTAATCGCAATAGCCTTCAAATATTCATACGGAGTGTCTTATTTTATCAGACTTGCATTCAGAATACTCAAAAAGTTAATTTTGATAAATACATTCTGGTGTTTGTTGGAGAGAATTTTAAACTTGATACATTTTGAAACAAATTGATCATTCAAGGTAAATAAAAACATCAAGTTGATTTGGCACAAGCCATGCATGTAAGTGTGGTGGCAACTGCAGATTTTGAAAAGATTTTATTGAAATGATTCTTATTGGAATGATACTTACCGCTGTAATCACATCAACTGTAAATCAAGGTGATAATTTGCTTATGTTTTGGTGATGACAAGTTACTTTGGGGATGGGTAAAATTATGTTGATTGATTGAGCTAAAATTTGCACATCATTTAGATGCCTTACTGAGACAGAGATTCGAGTTTTGGGTGAAAAAGTATAAGAACTTTTTTTATTTACTAAGACTTTAATTACCGTCTTTTTGAGGGAGCTGGACTTACAGTTTTTTAATAGCTCTTATAATGACACTTTTTTTGTCAGTAATTATCATTGCCTGTGATTTTGGTAATCCAAATTTTATCACTCTGTAAAATACTGAAATAGTGCATGTATCAGTACCAGGCAATTGCAATTAAAGGACTGAGTTGCGAAGAAGTTCAAGTCATGTAGACACACCACATGAATTTGTCCATAGACTTTAAAGTTAGAACTACATTATGCAGAATTTTCATTAAGAAATCTAGTCACAGGAGAAAGTTGTAACATTTACAGGAGAATATTCTAAGAGAGGCTCCATGTCTGAATAAAAAATAGTCATAGGGTACCTAATGCACCTATCAATGTAAACCCCGTGGGGGGGAGTGCGGGCAAGGGGTGGGGATTTGACAAATTTTAAAATTTTTTGAAAAAATTCACCAGGGTGGGAAACAAAAGGTCAATCAAAAGTGTCAAAAAGTCCCCACCCCAGGGGAAAACTCGAAACAAACAATACTATAATACTATATAAAACGAATGAAAGAAAATTTCAAAAGTATGTTCTTACTACTTTTATTTAAGGTTTACGTAAGCTGCGTTAAATTACTTGCTGTAATTAAGTATTTTCTCTCTCCACTAGCATCTCTTATTTTGAACTTGTATTAGTGAGGTCCTTCTAACTGGCACGATAATATAATTACTTTGCATTAATGCTTTATAACATCGGCTCAACATGTCGGATCAGTGACCTGTAAAAAATCCTCTGACTTTCATGGTAGAATTCAATTTCAATCGAGGTTTACAATCAGATGGGAACTTGAAGATAAAAACTTTCTCAAAATAGACAATATCTGTTTAGATGACAGTGTACATGTAAAGTATCGAATTAAAATAAATGAAAACTTCATAACTTTCTCCAACAGTGTGACTTTCAGAAAGCCTTGAGGGACGGACTTGGTTACCGCTTCTGAATTGATACCAGGCTTCTATCGGTCAAAGTCAAATGTCCCAACCCCGGGGTCGCTTCGCACGATCAAAAGCCCGACAGGGAGATAGTCTCAGGCATCAAATCCCCGCCCCTTGCCCGCACTCTCCCCCCCTCCCACGGGATTTACATTGATAGGTGCATAATGTTAGCCTGAGGAATCTGCATAGTAAGCAGAGAATTCTCCGACCTCCAATGCCCAATGAACACCCTGATTATGTCAATTACAAAAAAATGATTACAAATCTTTTGCAAATCTCTAGGATACTATGGATAGATTGAACTAACCTACATGAACTGTATGTTCTTCAGGTCTTGCAGATGCAGATGAAAACTGTAAAAGATTTATGGACCGAGCACTACCTGAGTGCTTTAAGAAGGTGTGTGTTTACCACTTCCACCGCATTGCCAGCTATATAATACACCTTGTTTACCCCTAAAGATTTCGCATAGGCTTTGTTTTCTTTTTCTCTTGGGATGCAGACTATTAACCCAGGAGAAATTGTAAACAACTGTTATGCAAAATGTTTGGGAGTGTTGGTGTCATGAATTGTTTTTTATTTTTTGCCATAGTTATTGACAACACAAGCAGTCCACAGATGGGGTTCAGAAATCCATGAAGGAATTTATGACATGCTTCATCTTCTTCTGGAGTTGATTGCTTCTAGGCTCAAGTATAAACCTGTACCATTTGGATTACTGGAATTGTTGACACAGGTACCTGATCAATAGTGCCCTTTGTATAGTAAGCAAGATGCTACAGTAGTTAATGACCCGCAGTAGAACATCGAGCCAGCAACTTCTTTTCAAAACTAATCCCAGAAGAATGTTGTTACTCATCAGCTCTCCACATCTGTGATCTTTTGTAACTGAAACCATTAATTTTTTTGGCCGATGGTTTGAAATTTTTCATTTTATTTAATCTTCTCAATTTAATTGGGCAAATGAAGATTGAAAGAAAAATCAAGATTTCAAGAGTTTAGCTATCCTGTAGAACAGTGATTAATTTTGATATGCTGCTTGCTATCATTCTTAGGCTTTCAATCCAGAAACAGAGTTCCAGTTCAAGAACAGGTCAAAACCGTGGGATAAGAAATACTTTGAAGGAGTGTTTGGAGCTGATGATTGTTATGCTGTTTGCCCACCGACCTCTGTGTATTACACAAGCCCATCTTACAAGGTAAGCTACTAAAACCCAGTCAGCAGTAAAGCCATTCTTTATTGTTTTCCTATAATTCCAAAGATCCTTCATTCTTAGGAACCCAAGCTGAGTAGCTACATGTCCTTTCAATGAGGTGGAAGTTGAAAATGCTTGAGTCTTTATGTAACCAGATGGTTAATCTGGAGACAGATGCCAAAAATCTTTATTACAGTTAACTGAGATTAAAATGTAGTTCTGCTATATGTTTAAAGCACAAAAAAGAGTATAATAAATATGCATCTTTAAACAACAGCCGCAGAAATCACGTGAACAGGATATTCTACCAAAAGTCTTCAAAATGAGTGATCGTTCTTTGCATCCTACGGATGTATGCTATGAATTATTTTGCGTCTTTGCCAATTTTTATGCATCAGTGATGCAGGACACAGAGGTAACAAAATCACTGTAGTTTACAAGAAGATTGAGAGAGTCTTTTAAAGTGCTTATTCTTACTGAGCAAATTCTAGAAGTATTTCATTTCACCACTTCTGTCTGGCCAATCACAAGTCTGGCAATTCAAATACTTTTGGGTTGTTAGTGTGTGGAAGTGGTCACCTGAGCTCTCCCATATAACTTTTTTTCTCTGTTTTCAGAAGTGTAGCAATTTCTCCTGAAAGTATCCCATTCCAATTTGCTTCTCTTGGGTCTTTAAGGATGGTTGTGTTACAGGTCAATGTTAAATCCAGTTGAGATTTTTTTTTTACCTACGTTGATTCTTAATTTCTTTTGTCTCCTAAGCCCTGATTATTCATGAATTGAGAATCAACCTCTTAGGTTAAAAAATTTTAAACTGAATTTAATTTTGACCTAACAGTTATCCCTTACAATATATTCTGGCCAGTAATATTGAAACTAAAAAATTGGCCAAGTTTCAACAGATATAGTTACATGTAACACATAGTGAAAAGTTTAATATGTAAACTTCTACTTTCCAGACCCTTATTCTTAGTAATAAATTTTAAATCATTAATGAAAAGTGATTTGTTGTTGTTTCCATTGTCTTCTTGCAGGATCCATATGGCTGGTTGGTAAACTTGATCAACAAGGTAAACCCTACCACACTTCATTCTTTGCCATGTTTTTCCAATACCCCTGGAAAGATAAAAGAAAAAGACACAGAAACTTAGCCGTACTTAACACTTAAATATATATTTTTTCTTTGTGATAGTTTGCAGAGCTTGGGGGATTTGAGGAAATCAAGAAACAGATTGAGACGGCAGAAAGAGTGGATGCTCCTGTAAGAATGTTGCACAAGTTAATACCACAGTATATTTAGTTTGGGCATTAATTACATTTAAGGCCATTGCAAGCAACAATGCAGCGGTAAATTGTGAGTCATAGAAAAAGGACTTTAAGCAGGCAGTAACTATGTGTTGTTTTAATTTTTCTTTGCTTTTAGAGTTCTCAAAGTTGTGTTTTATCTTTATTTCAGATGTTGGCTGCACTCTTGAAGCCCCTGGGAATTTGTGCCAGTTATCTGAATGCAAAAGTGCTGCCAGTAAGTGCCAACAATAATTTGTTTTGTCTTGCTAAGAAAGGTTATTTGCTGAATCCTTTTAATCTCCTTTTAGTATTCTTATCTCATGAAACATGGTGGCTAGTCTAAAAGGGGATGATAAAATACTGCTGCATCTTTAGCATGGAAATTTTACTTGTTGATTATAACTATACCAGCAGATGTTTCAGTGCAGTGTGATTTTTTTCTAGATGTACTTTGTACCTGTATGCAGTTGTGATGTTTGTTTTTTCATTACAGAAAGTCTTCAGTGATGTTTTTGAAAAAACACTAGGATACATCCAAGAACTGACAAATGAAGACATGAAACAAAAGGTATTATTGCAGTGTCTGATATTGGCTCTTAGTATAATAATTATGTGTTACTGGTCAAATGTGGTTTCAGGTTAAAATAATATTTTTTAAGACCAATTTTCTTCTCAATGTCCTTTGTCCCCTAGGAATAGGAGACAAGGGTAATTGAAAATCAACTTACTAGGTTAAGTCAAAATTTATCTGAAATCAAATTTGACCTATAACACATGCAAATTTTGGAATTTTAAACTGATATTTTTTCTTGTGTCATTTTTACAACAGATTGGTCACAACTCATGTTACCCAAATCATTATTATTCATACACTTAAATCGATTATCATATGTTTATTTTTATAGGCTGTTGGAGATGTGTTTGATTTGTTAACGACTCTTAAACTGTTGTGCATGAGGCTTTGGCAGAACATGGTGTCAGGTGTTGATGATCTGAGGCTAGAGGTGGCTTTGAAGATGCTCAAAAGTCCACATTTCAATGCCAAGATGAATTCACTCAAAGAGGTGACTGCCGTGCACTGCAGACATACTTTGTTTTTTTTTCTTTTTAAACTGTTGTGGCATGTCCTGAAACAAAACTTAAAAAACGTAATTGCTAAATTTTCTTTTGTAAGATGTTAAAATTTTGGAGTACAGCTGAAGAGGTTTAATCTGAATCACACTGCCATTAGATTTCATCTACAAACTGTAAAGTTAGATCAGCTCATGTTGTGCCCTACCTTCACCATTTTCTTATTTACTAGGTTAACTTACACATATTTTACATATATTTTAACTATAATCAATATATTTTTGTTCAAATATCAGGTCTGTAAGTTAATTGATGATTCTGAAAAGAGTAAGAACCCTAAAGTAAACATTTCCCAGGATGTTATCACAGAGTGGCTGCTTCAAAACAAAGTTCTCTCTATTGCATTTGAAAGTAAGTTTACCATTCACAGACTAAACTAGTCTGTGCCAGGGCACTTTATTAAGGTAACAGCAGATAAAGATCTGCACAGAGTCCTTGAGGAGCAAGGATAAGCACATAGTGCAAATTAGCCTTCTGTGCAGGCGGATTCGAGTTTCATTCCCAGTTGTTACCTCAAATCTTTTTTTCAACTTCTTTCCTTTCCATGTACTTTAAGTACCTCTAAATTCATGGTAAACGGAACACTGATAAAGAGATGGGTGTAAAAAAGAAGCACACTGTTAGCCTCAGGTTCCTCAGTCTAATGTGTACTGTTATGAGTTCCAATGGTCTGTAGTGTGTGATTCCACTGCATGCTTGGTCACATCGTTGCTTTTGTATTATAGGATACAAGAATGTTGTATTCCACTTACATTGTAGGTCACAATCTTTGTTGGCCAATTTTTGTGCTCTTCAAAAATGTTGTTTCTCCACTAGCCTCTTTCTTCCACTTTTTTCACTGCTTATTTAGCATGACAGGTTCTAGAAAAAGTTTTCAGGGATCATGGCTGGGTCATGGGGTTTTCCAGCCATGGGAACTGGGTGATTTCCTGTGTAAGTGCATAGATTAACGTCTTCCATATGAATATTGCAAACGTTTTGCTTAAGATTCCTTACCTTTCTTGCAGGCAATCTTCATCAATCTCAGTACTGTGATCGAATCAAAGTACTTGTAGAGTTCCTTGGTACCAAGCTCTCTTTGGATGAGTTAACCACCATATGGAAAATGCAGGTATTTAAGCATCAACTTATCATGTTCTTTGAGAGCTCAGGTTCACAAAACAGACCCTAAGCCCAAAACCAACCATACATGTGCAGTATCTGTGTCCTTCTTTAGTCTCATGAACTGGTCAAATACACTAATGCCAACAATTTTAGTACAGCTTTTGGTTTAATATAGCAATACATTCAGTTAGCATAGAGTGCATGAATATCATAAAATTAAGAGTTCAAGAGCAAGTTGCCAAAAGTCATAAGTGCTGTTATTTTCAAGAAATGAAACAAAATAAAGGAAACATATTTAATTTATTTCTCTTAAAACTCTCTGAAAAACTTCTTGCATAATTTTTTTGTTACAAAATTAAGTAATCAATGTGATGAATTTGTAAGGTTGGAAAGCACCACACTGAGGTAGATAACATACACAATATCCTGGCTACAGCGGCGGTGAGATTTAACTCTAACCAGCTGGATCATCTCTTTGTCCTGATACAACAGGTTTGTTTCCTCGATAGTAACTATTAATTTGTTATTATTTCATGTTGTTAATAGCTCTTATACAAGGAACTGAGAAGGTGCATGCAGAGATGCATTTGTGACATAAAATCAGAAAATGAGTGAAATCTGTGTCTGAAATTCTACAGCCAGCAAAATAGGTGACTTGGTGTAGAAAAATAGCTTCCCAAAAAACCTTTC